TGTAAGGATAAAGAAAATGGCACACAAAACGCTACTGGTTACTCTAGGCAGGACCTCTGTTAGCATCCAGCACTGACTTAGCTCCACTTCCATGCGAGTGCCTGGAAGCCCCAGGCCTTAGCCCAGGGTCTCAGGGGAATGGAAATCTCCCCAGGACTTTGAAATGCTACCTTTTCTAACTGTAGTTTAGGATTTTATACCAAGGAAGTGTTACTCAGGAGCAATTCAATGAATATTGCCTTGTTACAGCCTGTAGCCTTGTTATTTTATACTCTTCTAGAAAATAGATTCTGAAAGTGTACAAAGGCTTCTACATTACACTTTGAATAGCCCAGCACCTTTGTTCTAAAAATAAATGCATGACTTAAAAATAAATAATTAAGTGGGTTCAAAGCAGAGGCTTACATTGCTTTTGAGAATATTCACATATGATCAGCTGTTGAAAGAGCTGCAGTTCAACAGTGCTGAGCTAAGATTTAGTGACAGTGGCACCCAGGGATCAGACTCAGCGCCAGAACCTTAGTCTTTCCCATAGAGAACAAGAAATGAGTATGGAGGCATCAGACTAGATGGCAGCGAGAGATAATACCCAGCACCAAAAGCCTTGAACGCCTTCCAGCAATGTGGAAGACTGGTATGGCCAACCTTTAGGCCAAGATTCAACGAAGCAAATCGAGAACAATTGTAAGTTCATTCTTACTTGGCAAAGCACTTCAGTTTATGTTTATCTTTAACTTGTGATTACTGAAGATAGTAAAATTTATGCATGCACTTGAAATGAAGCAAGATCTTTATTGTTTTGTTGAATGGAATCCATAGTATGTTGTGGAGAAAGTAGCCCAGCCTCTCACGGACGGAGGAGGTTGTTTTTATATAAGACTGCATGACAAGCTAAAAAATGGGGAAAACTTTTTGAAGAAGCTTTCCTCATCCTCACTTCCCACTCCATATCCTCCCACCTTCCTAAATTATCCTTTTTACATCTAAATTGATGGAAAGACAAAGAAACCACTGTAAGTGAGCAGAGCCGCAGAGTGTAATAAAAACTTAAAAAGTGCAAGACTAACAAAAGCAAGGCTAGTCCGGCCTGAATATTTGAAACAAAATAAACACAAGAAAGCTAAAAATGTATGCTCACTTGGAGGTACAGGGAAAACTACAAGCATCGTTGCTGCAGTTGGCTGAGGCTTTTGCAATGGACAAAAGATACAGGAGGAAATGGGCAACAGAATTATTAAAAGATAAAAAATATAGTGACTAGTGGGGTTTTTTTTTTTGAATAGTGGAGCACATGCTTTAATATTCTCAATTAGGCACTTGTACACATCTTTCTCATTGATTTGAATTAAGCTCAAGCATGTTCTTTAAGATAAGCCTATGATTAAACATCCTTCCTAAAGAGGAGTTCTTTTTGGAATTCCAGCTGAAGGCAGGATCGGAGAGCTCCTTGAACCAGGATCACATTTCCAGATATAGGTCCAGGTTCAGGCGTGTATATGTGTGATGCTATATTTGAAAATACTGTATGCCTGTATCTCAGAGGCAGTACTTAATGTGCTTGAAGTTGGCAGCATGCTTGAGCACCCTGTTCAACTGTGGTGAGAGAGAAAAAGTAAAAGCTGTAAAGGAGAAAAAATACTTGTGAGACGGGTTTAGGCATTTTTCCAGCTTGCCGGTACACTGCAGTGTGCTTGCTCGTAATGCACACCTACCTGCTCTTCAGTAACTTCTTGCTCTATAGGTCCTTCATAGTACAATTCTGTTCACACACCTAACATGACTCTGAAATTCAGACTTGGCCATTTCCAGATCCTTGTAATACTTAAAAGAGGAATAATTGTTTTTAATGACAAAGAATTCTTTATTTTTGAGTGG